TAGGTTTCTCCCCTTAATGGTGATCCGTGCCTCTTGTTGTTGTAGTTGTTGCTCTTGGTTGAGTATCTTCATCACCTGTGTCTTCTCTACGTTCACGTGAAGGAAGTCCCATCTTCGCTGCCTCATCTCTTCTTCCAACTTGTTAGTTTTCGTCTGTACATCTTCGAGTTCGTGCGACATAAGACATCAGACGTAAATCATCATCATCATCATCATCGTCATGGGCGAAATCCGAATCTTCTTCTGGAGTCTTTTCATCTGTCAAACAGCGTATGCCTATTGTCTCACTCCACACAATTTGCAGCAGGATTCAATCCAGTCGGGTTGAGTCGACCACAATCAGGAAGATGATGGGTGATAGTAGGCGGCAACCTTATCTTACTCCTGTCTTCACTTCACTTCAAAGGCATCACTCAGCTTTCCATTATGAATTACTTGGCATGTAGCATCATATGGCATATAGCTTCTGTTGAATGAGTTTTATAAAGGTTTATGGCACTAAAACTGTAGTGTTGAATCAGCTGCCTGACAAATTACTTCTCAGTGGACGCCTCGATCCAAGGCCCTTTCAAAATTGATGAAGTTGAGGTGAAGATACAGTTGACTGGTATTCTATGTTGTGCTGTATGATGATGCGTAGTGTAGCGTTGCAATTTGATCCACACATGAGTTGTTTTCTCCTGTAGCCAGCCTTTTCTGGTAGTTATTTTGAATCCAGTGCTATTTTTTAGTTTCTGCGTGATTATGTTGCTTGGGATGGACAGCAGTGTGATTCCGCACCAGTTCCTGCAATGGTTTATGTCACCCTTGTTCCGGAGTTTGTCAAGGTTGCCCTTCTTCCAGTCATCGGTTAGGTACCTTTCCTTCTTTCCGAACCTTCTGCAGTGGTGTTGTGAGCATGTGCGCTGTTGTCTCTGCATCTGTTTTCAGTGCTTCTGGAGGAATTCCATCTGGTCCGGCTGGTTTCCCGGATTTCAGCAACCTGATGGCGTTCAGGATTTCACTCTTGCTTTCGTCGGATGACTTGTGTCCACTGTCAATTCTGCTGTAGCTGTTGGTATTTCTGGATGAGTTGCAGATGGTGGTGGTGGTAGATTCAAGAGCTTTTTGAAGCGGTCAGCCCATTGTTCCCCTTTGTTTCTCCTATTTCTTTACTAGGTTTCCTTCACTATCTCTCGTTGGCTTTGTCTGCGTTGATCTCTATCATCTCAGATAGACGGTTATTTGATATATTATTGTCAGGTATCTGTCTCTCATATCTGCAGCCCATTCTGCTTCACTTGCCAGTGTGTTATAGACGTGTCTTTTATCTTTCCGTGCAGTCTTCTTCACTTCTTTGTCCAATGTAGTGTTTTATAGGTTGTGTTCAGTTCATCTTTTCGTTGTTCATCCCTGAAATGCACTGTTTAATCTTCTGCTTCACCATCTTCCTCTCCCTCCTCTATCAGTTTCTATGTATCTGTCGAGATCCATTCCTTGTCCCCGTTTTGTTTCTTCTTCCTTCCTAACACGGTTACTCAGGTTGCTTTCCACGTCTCTTTCAAAGAGCTCCAGTGTTCTTCTACGCAGGTTTCTTCACGGGTGTTGTTTAATGTCTCCCGTTCTGTTCTTATGGCTGGCGTGGATATGTCTTTTGTAGTTTCGTCCTTCAGTTTCTGTTCTGTGTGTTGAACTTGAACTGTGGTCTATTACCATTTTCCTTGAAGGCTTTTAACTTGATTTTGAAGGTTCCTTTCACTACATAGTTTGTGGTGTGAACCTACATCTGCTCCCCTTCTTGATCAGACCTTGTGTCTAGTAGGCTGCATCTTCACTTTCTTGAGATTGAGGTGAAGTCGGTCTGATTTTTAGTGTATCTGGTGTCTGGTGAATTCCATACCGCTTTCTGAATGTCCTTGTGTTTGTTCACACTTCCTCCAATCACCAAATCGTTGAATGCGCAGAAATCTGCAAACAGTTGTCCATTCTCATTTATTCACCCAGTGCTTCTCGACCTACGATGAGTTTTCTTCCTGCGTTATCCGCTCCAAGTTTGACATTCATGTCACCCATTAGAATTTTGATATCGCCAACTGGGGTTTTGTCCATTACTGATCGAAGTTGTCTACAGATTTCCTCCTTCTTCTCTTGGTCTGCATTATTTGTAGGTGCATAGCGTAGCATCGTATGATTGTAACTTTTTTCGTTTTGATTTGAATCTTGCTGTCATGATTCTGGAGGAGGTTGCTTTTCACTGCATTAGAGCCTTCGACGCTCTTGGATACATCATGGCAGCCACCCATAAAACTTAGCGTGCTCGTGGTTGTCGTCTGGGTGACAATATCGGAGTAGATTATTGACTCTCCAGCTGCCAGTTTGAAGAGATCACTTCCATTTCATCTCATCTCTTTGGCAATCTAAGCGGCCAGCTTCAAAAATTGTACGGACATTCCTTATCCCTGTGCTTACTTTCGCTTTCATCGAGAGAAGACATATTGGCCAGTCGGTTCCCCGAAGACTTTCGTCAACTGGTGTCATTTCGTCTCCCCCATTCCGGAGAAGAGTAAGTTTATTATTTATTTATTTATTCTGTACTTTGAAGTTTGTTTAGCGATTGGATTAATTTCCGGGGTAGGGTTGCTAGCCCTATTACCAACCTTCCCTCTTTATCCGGGCTTAGGGCCGGCTAGTAAACTAAAGAACTAGGTGAAGTTATTTGTCTGCCTAGATGATGTCTTCTCTTTCACTGATATAATAGTGGTGCAGTAGTTCAGTCTGTAGTTCTGATTGTCTACGCGGCTAATTCTCAGTCAGAAACACCTTTTTCTGATAGACAAACAAGTTTGATATGTATATTTCACAATGGTATTCATTGTAAACTGATAGTAGTTGAAAAACCATTAAAAACTTGGGGTAACTGCAGTGCTGTTTCTTCCTAGTATGTGACTCCTTAGCAGTACGCATCTGTGACGCTGCCAGAAACTGAACTCAGGTGGGACAAAATAAGTCATGCATGAGGGTAGATGCCCAGTAACGACATCGGACTTAGGCTGCACTTCATTACTAATTGAAAGAAGTAGAAAGATGTAGGTCACTGGATTCTGACCCAGCAGCTCAATGGTAACGTACTGGCCACGGAACATGAATCTCCTGAGTACGCACTTCTGAGGCGTCTACGCTACGATGAAACAGTTGTATGGTGATCTCAATTACTCAGTGGTCCTCCAACTAATGTCGTTTCCTTCTTCGTGTGTTCAGTTAGAAATCTTGGTGATTCATCAAGGACTGACATTATCTTGCCTCTGTCCATTATGACAACATTGCTGCCGCTATCCGGTAGAAGAATTACGACGTCTTTAATATTCATTAAGTTACTCAATGCTGTGTCGTATAGTGCTAACTTTGCTATTCTTGCTTAATTCATATTCGTGAAAGGGAAGAATTGTATTAAGATTCTAACTAATGTAAACTATTTAGATCTAATGCTATCTGTGTTATGCTTTCTTTGTTACTATCATGTACTAAATTGGTGTTCATCGGTCAGGCTAAAGCCAGAAGGTACAGATTATTCCGGTCCCGGTTAGTTCTCATCAGTGTATATTTCTACACTTGTGCTGGAAGTCATGAGCAGCATTCCCTACTGCCCATAGGGACCCACAAAAAAAGACACATTCTTAAGATTTTCAGGCCTGTGTGACAAACTTCCCCGGAGAGATAGAATAACAAATTACAATCGAAAGTAAGAATTCAACTGCTGATGCAGATTTTACATATCTATGAACACAACTGTAAACCACAAAATTTGGTGTAGAATAAACATGATTACTTTGATGAATAAGAAGACATTCTTCTCATTATAGGATTGTTCAAAATGGACATAACTGCCTTGAAAACGGTTCGAAAACTACGAAATGTCAAACCATTATTATTCATTGCTTTCATAGCTGCTAACTTTTTGCTGTTTTTGTTTTTTCCACGTCTGAATCGAGGATATATACGGTAGAGATCAAGTTTTCAGAATTGGTGGTCACCGTGGAAGTATGGTCCAATTAGTAACATCACTGATCTTAGCACGACTTTTGATAACTTTTCATCGGTTGAACTTATGGTAAAAGTGAGGAACCTTAGAGTTCAAGATGTCTGGAAATGAATTTAGAACATATTTTGTGGTATAAATAAGTGAGTAGAGTTTACTAGAGGTTTGTCTCCAAGGTAACTTCTAAATATTGACATATTATGTAATGATATTATAGGCATTGCCCTGTTTTTACTTCACACCTAAGAACTACCGTTAAAAATAAAATCACCTGTTCTTATTTTTTGTCGTGGATATCACAGTTTGAAGGGTTATACAGTTTACGTTCGTTTACTGGAAATGTCAGGTAACTGAGAGGTATTATTTACCGCATCACGTTTAGGAAGTAATTTATCTCCCATATTAACATTATGTCCCCGAGGTCTACTCTTTTATCATTGAGGGGTTATAGCTAAGAATAAAGATAGGCTGCTCTTACGAAAAGGCGTAAAGTGGATCAGTGCTATATTACGGAATTTAGCTGTAAGAACTAACACTGATAACAGCACAGTCATACAAATTTGTAAAGATAGTTCTCAAAACTATTCGCTAAGTAACGTGTTTCTGCTGATGACGTTTGCACATAATGATTGATAATTATCGTGGGTCACAGCCTTCAAACTAAAGTAAATTTCAGGATTTGGATTAACTCGATTTCTTAAGGTTTTCTTTCTCTATACAAGGACTTTAAAGACTGAGATAGAGGTGCATTTTGATTTCTATGCCTAATATATGTAAGGTATCACTTTTAATATTCGTTCTAACAAATGAGTCTGTTTTTCAGTTGGATTATTTTTACAGGGTTATAACTAAGATGGACAAAATTAACCGCCATGGTCTCTTCACACTATCTTACTACAGCTTAGAAAGTTAATTTGTCTTTTCTTCAACCAAGAATTAAACCTTATCACTATTAAAAATACTGGTAGCATTATTAAAATGTCATGTATTTACCAAGTGTAAAAGGTCACGACAAACATGCATCACTTGAAAAGTTGTTTGCCAGTGTTCTTTGACAAATTTCTAAAGCTGCCATTCAGAAAATGATTTGGAAGTACTATTTTTTGTGGTGATTTGCGGTGATTTTGTGCAAGAAACGAATTGGATGAGCTGCCTTCTGGATGTTTAGAGAAGTTTAAGTATGAGAAACGGTCGCTGAGACCAAATGGGCTTGTATATGTTGAATCAGGTGAGCATCTAGGAAATTTAGGGTTTAGTGTGTCCGTTGATAGGGTAGATTGTACTGATCCACTATCCACAGGATCTGAAATACAGGTATGACCAGAGTTTGACCTTTTTGACAAATTCAGTCTGCTCATATCACCTTCAAGCTTTGAAAGTTTGTGGCTTGAGGCAATAAGTTTATCCCGCAGCTCTTCACACTCTTTTTCTAGCTTTAAAGAGAAAAAATTACAAAAAAATCAGTCTTACAGCATTCTTCTCACTCTGAAGTTTATCAATTTTCTGCTCAAGATTGCCTAACAAGGATTTGCATTGACCTTCCAGATTGCGATATCTTTCTTCGAGCTTATAGTTGACATACTCTGAATATTTCATCTCCTGCTCTGACTGCATAGTCAGGAACTCAAGGGCTCTACGGCACACATCAAAAATCGTATCTGGTGTTTGCCCCATTAGGATCATGCTTCGGAACTGCTCACAGGGTTGCAAGTCAACCTAGAATAGGACAAATAGCTTATAATAAACCTTACTTCAAATATGTCTAAATTTTCTTTTAGTCTTGTTCGGCAAGCTGGACACTGAAACGCCCCATCGGAAGTTTTAAGTTGAAGCGGACTATGTGTAGGACAGAAAATATGCTTGCATGCAGTTGCGATGGCGCATATTTTTAGAGGCTGTCTGCATTTCCTATAGTTGCACAAAAGCATCTCTCACGTAAACTAGTTCTTAGTTTTGTTTTCCGCACCTTTGTTCCTCAAAATGGCGAGTGTGGTTCAATCTTCGTGTCACTCTTGGATGATAAGCTAAGTATGTAAGTTGTTCTGTGTTAAATCGCAAAGCACCACGTTTAATGTTGCTTATACTTGCCTGTTCGAATAATGATAGGGGCCTATTAGGGTGAGTTTTACATTATAGGTGTTGTAATCTTCAGATTCAGATTTTTCATTTTCAATATCCAGTATAATCTTGTAAGCTTGCAGGAACCAAATGATTTCTTCACCCTTGTTCCTAGATCTTGCGGGAAACCTCCAGATCATTCGCGGACAACTGTGCGACTGCTGCACCTGTAGCAAGACATATCTCAGTCACTCCTACTTCCTGGACTTGTTGGAAATTTTGGAATTCGACAGGGTCGCGGTAACAGACAGTCGAAGGTAAGGTGAATAACCTACTATCTGCTTGCTGAACATGTTTATTGTTCTACTCTTTTCATTGACTCTGTTATCGTCTTCACCTATTTATTGACATGGATAGTAGAAGTACGCTGCCTTCAACAGACCAATCTCCGAAACACTTTAAGCACAGCTTCACTGCGGTCACTGACCACCTCATTCTCAACTGTAACTAAGGCTGGAGGTGACAGATATCAGGAGGTGACGAAGACTAGCCAGCTACGTAGGTCAAACTCCACTGAACGGCCATGGCCTTAAACACACCAAGTTAGCCAAACTCCCAGTCCTCACCCCGCTGTAAGCATCACTGTCCCCAGTCAAGGAAACTTAGACCCCTATGCCACACCAAGCACCCGCTCCTACCAACCGGTGAAAACTGATAAGCGGAAACGTCAAATAGCAAGACAGAAGCATCTGACCAAACGCCACGGCTATCTAGATGACAATCACATGTGTGCTCTCGTTGTAACCAAAAGTGATGCAGGAAAGGTGCACTACCAAGGTGAAAAAAGTACCATGCCAGCCCTACACTTTTATGATGCGCCGTCCACGCGCGTGGTTTCTGTACACCTGCCCACAGTGCCATCTGCGGCCTCATCTAGCTTCAGGCTCGCTCAGAGCGGTCGGTAAACTCCCAGTAGCCGCCAGAAAGCAGGCATCTGTCCAAACCGGTACCGTGGGGGGGGGATTGACTTTCAGAAGGTTTTCAGTAATGGCCCACCAAAGGTCATAGACGTGGGCAGTCCAGAACCGAATGAGAAAATGCCTACACCAATGGCAACCGCATCCACTCTGAACCCTGGAGCTGGGCCAGCGACAGCCACCAGTGGATAACATGATAAATGGGTTGCAGCAGAGAAGAAAGCTCGAATCACCCATGAAAACGCGCCCAAAGTGCCGGATAATGCGGGCGTCCCCGACTGATCAGATTCTGCCATTCTATTTGATGTTGCTGTATGCAATGACAACCTTCTGGAGCACAAGAACACGTTTACCAGGCAGACGTGGGACTGCCTTTGTGTCGTGCCAGGTCTAGGCTCCCTCAAGGCAAAACTGTGTTAAGCAAACGGAAGCACCGGTTCACCCCCAGGGAAGCCTCCATCGATGCCAGTGACTCCAAGGTCAATCAAAAGAGGCTGAACGGTTCCTCTTACTGTTATACACGCTGGTTATCAACAGAAAATCTGTCTAGGAGCTGGGTATGGCCGATGGGGATGGCGAGAAAGACATCTTGGGAAGCGTCTAATTCACAAACACGCAAAAACATGGTCATCTAGGAATACTCGGGCTGACAATTCTAGGAGACAAGCGCACTCATGACGCCCGACTATGGGGGCGGTTATCACCACGAATGAGGCCAAGTGGGGTTGCAGCAGTGGCAGTCGTCAAGCTTCCATGACCCCAGCCCCTGACAGCCGAGGACTCACGTAGACTGATGGTCGCCAGCTTCAAAGCCCCAGAAGTTCTAGCTACAGTGCCAGGGGCGGGGCATGACGTCGAGAACACCATAGGCGGGGATGTTGGCTGCCGTGAAAGCAGATATAGAACGCTTAGACAACAGCAAACAGCGGTTACTTCTTATGTTCAGGCAGCCATCATTCTAAACCCACACGTTGGGAGTCAGGTAGGCAACCTACACTTGGCACTGACTGCACCAGTTAGCCTAAGAAAAAACCTAACTGGGCCGGCTCCAACGGAACTGGTCGGCCAGTATAAGACCCCATTACGTCAAAACTTGTTCTACTAGTTAACCTATAGACACCTCAAGTCATGAGAAGCACTTACAAGTGTCTTTGAAGCAACGTAAGGGGACTTTGAAGTAAAATATCAGGGCTCTGATCCCTCTGCTCCCACCTTGTCCCGAAAATTATAATCCTGATGGAAACCTGGGTATCGCCGAATATTAGTGACGCCAAAGTTAAAATAGATAACATTTTTTTGTTCAGAAGGGATGGGGGACAAAAGGTCGTGGGGGGACTGTAATGCAGGTGGACAGTTGGTTCGACAGTGAGCAAACCACTGAAACTGTATTGATGGAGCTCCAAGACTGAATCTGGTGCCACTTTGCGGTTGGACACACCAGGCTTCTGGTTGGAGGAGTCTATAAGTCCTCTAATCGCAACATGAAATGCGACCAGAAATTACTCCCAGTGATGCCCACAGTGCAGACTACGGGATATGATCAGACCCCAATAGCTAGCGACTTCAACGCCCCAACTCTCTCTCGGCCTGGAGCAGGGCAGCTAGGGGTTTGATCGTAACCTGCTAAACGACATTCATATGATTGTGCGATGATGCCTTCTGGAGGTCAGGCAGCAAAATATTTAAGATGGATTATCCACTGGCTGCTGACCATCTTTTAGTTGAAAACGTCCAGGTTCAAACTCCACTTGGAAGCAGTAATCATGCCATAGTAGTGCCCGATCTAGCTGTCAGCAAACAATAATTGAGAGAAGGATCTCGCCTCTGCCTCTTTTACAGCGGGGCAAACTATGAGGGAATGAATCATTGTCTATCGAGAGCCCCATGGCCAGCAAGTTGGCGTCCCATATCTGCTGAGCAGCCTGGGAAACAGTAAGAGATGTCATTAAAGCAGTGATCCTCGAAAAAGTCCCCTTGGTGTTAACAATACCCCGGAAGCGGACCTCACAGCTGAAAAGAGGCACTGAGCACCTCTTGAAAGCCAAAAGGAAAGCATGGCATAAGTGGAAGCCCTCCAGAGAAGAGGATGATCACGATGGATATGTGGCTTCATGAAATCGATGCAACATCAAGATTGGGTGGCTGTGGGCCGTTGCAGCCTAACCTAGCCCAAAAGCTTGGGTTATGCCCCAAGAGCTTAGACCGATTCGTGATGAAAGAGGATCTGTAAGTCAAGGAGAGTGCACCATCAAAGGTCCGAACGGAGAAAACCACTCTGGACAAGAGATCGTCGAAATATTAAACGTCACCTTTGACACACAGGTCAACACCCCATCGCGCAAGTAGGCACACAAGGCTTGAACAGCTCCTAAGGTGTTCCGATGCAGCAGAGTCTCACGGAGTACAGGTGACCCGTGCGGTTGTCCTTCATGAGCCGTCGAGGTTAAGTGCGAAGAAGTTTTGGGGACGCGACGACATCCGCCCGTCTGTGGTATGGAGAGTGTGACCAATGACCACATCAGGGACTACCTTGACACAAAGCAGGCGCTCAGTGACACCCAACAAGGCCCTCGAGAGAGCAGGCACTCTCTCTCTGGCCTCCCGACAGCGGGCATCAAAAACCATGCGAGATCAGACTAAAAGGCCTGGGCCTGTACTCCCCTACAAAATGCTGAAGAACCCGAGTCATACCAACAGGGAAATGGCACTGAGTGGCCACCAGGGTGGTCCTCATGGAAATCCTGGGAGAAACGCCCGCAAAAGACCAGAACCTAGTGTGCGTTCACGTTTTTTCTCCCTTTGAGTCTGTAGGCAGTGGAAGCATTACTAGCAGAGGTAGTCTGCACCGCATCCATCGATATTTTCAAGAAGAGTCTGGACAGTTACGCGGTGACCCATGTTTTACTCTCATCTTGTTGGAATACGAAGTAGGTCGAAGAAATTAGCCACTTGCACGCTATTCTAACACTTTCCTTTGCTCCAGCCCTCCTCCTGGCGGGACCACCTGGGCACTTTCCAGCCCTCTTACTCACTACGAATCAGACTCACACGCCCAAGCTCTACATATCTCTTCACCCCAATTTCAAAAATTCCTCCTCAGTAAATCCATAAGCTTGTTAAAGCCTCTGCTGGATGAGTCAGATAAAGACTCGACCCGGCGCTTAGAATCGACTACTGAAGGTAAAACCCGAACACTAAACAGACGACTTTCCTCTCTTGCATCCCTACTCTGTTGCTGCATCCTCTAAAGTTTTCTAACTCGGTGCTTGGAAAAAGGGAAGACAGGTCACTTTCAGAGCCACTTATTAAAATCGTGCGTGACATGGTTAGTTTTCCTCTCCATCTGCGACATGGTGAGGAGAAGGTGGTTAGCTCCTGAAGTCATTCTGCACAGATCAAGATGGGCACAGTGGGAATCAAACTAGCAAGCACGCTGTAAACGGTTTACGGAAGGTCCGAGTCAACTTTCAAGAAATATCGGACCGTTGTGTACGGTTCTCAAGTTAGGGTTTGACCGTGTGAGCAAGGTGGCGAATGTACCACCGATGGTCCCAGTAAAGGTAACGCGCAATGCCAAAACTGTCTCTAACTTCCAAGCTACGGTCGATCAGTGGTGTGCTGTAGCCTCCAAGCGATGATCAGTAAGGACCAATGGGTTATCGTGGGTCGGTGCTGAAGGTAAAGAAATTCAAGGTGCCACCAGTGCCACAGTCTGCAATCCGCATATGACGACTTACACACCATCCCGGGCTGAGAGATATCAGCTATTTTTCTGGCTAGGTTGCCAGGCGATCTTGGTTTGTCTGAGATATGCGCACATTACTGCCACCTACTGCTTCTCGTCAGGTGTTCAACATCGCCAGTGAGTTATCTGTGATTTCTGAACTTTCTAGTTTCTTGAGCAGCCCTTAATCGAGTACCTTGCTGAACGCCCTGGCGAAGTTTGTGAAAGTTACATCTAAAGATATCTTGTCATCCATAGGCTTGCCACAGGCTCCTGTGACTGTGAGTATATTCATCAGGCAAAATAAACGTTTGTGAAAGCCTTGTTGCTAACCGTAACGGCCTTTTGATTACTCTTTCA